GAAGGAAAGGAAGGAACAGGATGGAAGGAAAGGCAGGAGCAGAGTGGAAGGAAACTGCAGAGGTCTCATGCACAAATTTCAGCTAATTACTCAAGGCAGCTCAGGGAGCTCCACTCCTGATGGTGGAAGGAAAACTATGCCTTGAGAACAATTTGTATGGATCACAACAACAAAACAAAGAGTGTGTTTGAGACTCCTTCAAACCTCCCCCAGCCACCTCCAGCATAAAACACAGATAAGGGGAGCCTCCAAGGCGGAGCTGCAGCCAGGCCTGGGCTGGGACTGGTTTTACCCAGTCCCAGAGCAGAGGCAGCTGCACTCCCACTGCCAGCAGGGACCTGTCCCAGCCTGAGCTGCTGCCACCCCACCTGCACAGAGCTGGATCTGGCAAGCCAAGGCACAGGAGGCGTGAACAGCCCAGGCCTGACCTTGAACAAGCTCGAGGCACCAGTTAGAGGCATTTATGTTAACAGCCCTGGGTGACAGGAAACAGAGAAACACACTATTAACAATTAATGTAACACGGGGTATTGGCTCTGAGATCAATTCAAGTTCAATTTTGGTAACAATACCAGAAAAATGAGCTGAAAATTATCTATGCAGAAGAAAAGCATCTCGCTAGCATAATAACTCAAAGTTATATTTCCATATAGAAAGGCACAATCGTGAATTACAAACTGAATTCTGCAGACATCTCCAGTGCAACCAACAAATACAAAGTACTTCTATAGTGATTTTCTAATTAGTGTCATTATTCATACAAACTCCACTATTTGATATTTACATAGAACTCAATCTTGGTAACTTAAGCTACTCTCCTTAAACTCTGCCTACAACCACTGAAAACACCACAGAACCTTTGACCCAACTACTTCACCTTTATCAATGGTCTGGAGCAGCATCATAAAACCAAGCAAACCCCAAATTTGGAAACCAGAGACAAAACTGTTATTTGCAAAATGATAAATAAAGAATATCAGTTTTCCTGTAGCTTTCTACCTGCTGCACCATTCACCGAGAGGCTCAGCCCAACAGCCACTGAGTTCCAGATCCATCCTGAAGCCCACAGTCTCTGAATTCACTCCCATTCAACCATTCTGAATTCTTTCTCCATGCAGAACAGGAAAGCAGTCCTGTAACAACCAGCTAAACTGATTAACTCGGGCTTTTTAGGGTCTGTTATTCAGCACAGCCAGTCTGTACCAAACCTGGAGCACACCAACGCTAGCACACCAACAATCAGCCCCGGCAGGTTTTATTCCAGAGGACAGAAATCCATGTTGTTCTCCTCCATGGAGTCTCCTGCCTTCTTAATGAGCAGCCAGGCTACTGAAACACACAAAAACCTGCTGTTCTTTGAAGCACTTAAGCCAGCAGGATACCGGTACGTTTCGATATTTTCCCTGCACAGATCAGAGCGAGGCAAAGTGGGAAAAGAACATTACAGGCGTTCCTACAAAGCAGGCACATTTCATTTTCTATTAGCAACATCCCAAGGGACACTTTAGCACTCTGCAAATATGGCCCTGGAAGATTGGGAAGTTGCTTCCTGAGTACCAGTCATTAAAGAAAGGTATTAGAGTAACTTATATTCTTCTACACCAAGCAAAAGCCAGAGTCATTTCCCCATCCCACATATGAGACCTAAGAAAAGCAAGATCAGGAACATCATAACTATTCTTTAATGTATTTCCCCTAAACTGATTATCATTTAATGATTGCTGTCTCTCACTCTAAAGGAAAAAAAAAAAAAACACAGAAACAAAACCCTGATTTCTGTATCAAGAGAGACTATCAGCATTTTTATGAAGTAACAAATTAGGCCTTTGGCATTTCCCAGCAGTGATCCAAGATTTGAGGCTTCTTAAAAGCTCCAAGTTTTAAAGCAATCAAATGGCTGACAGCTGGAACAAAACTAGCATGATTAACCAGTTATGTAAATAATGATGTGGTCAGTGCTAGCTGAATTCATTTCTGCTGCCCGCATTATACTGGACATCAGATGTTTGTGAACTCTTCATTAAATGTAACTGTAGGAATAATGCAAGTGCAAACCAACATGAGCATCACCAGCCAGGCTACCTGACAGTCAGGGGGTCTCTCCTCTGGTCCTTCCACACCCATCAGGTAACTCATAAACAGCACTTTTTTAGCCCAAATATTACCCACCACTGCTTAGCTTCTACCTAGGGAACAAGTCCATGGAGAGGTGGAGAAAGCTGGAGAGAGGATATTTATTCACAAGGGCTTGGACTGACAGCCAAAGGGGAATGGCATCCCACTGCCAGAGAGCAGCGTTGGCTGGGATGTTGGGAAGGAATTCCTCCCTGGGAGGGTGGGGAGGCCCTAGCACAGGTTCCCAGAGAAGCTGTGGCCACCCCTGGATCCCTGGAGGTGTTCAAAGCCAGGCTGGACCTTTTTTGGAAAAAACTGGGACAGTGGAAGGTGTCCCTGCCATAACAGGGTGGGACTGGATGAGCTTTGAGGTCCCTTCCAACCCAACCCATTCTGGGATTCAAAGATGCTGTGAGTGCTGCCTTGCATTTTTTAAAAGCTGATAATCATTTCCATTTCTCAGCAGATGTAAAAGTCAAGCTGCTGTGTCACAGAGCTGTTGTGACACAGGTGTAATGTTGCAGAGTAACTTCATGGAATAGAGGAAGTTACAATCAGCACCCCCAAGTCAAACTTCCTCAAATGGAACCCACAGTCAATTTGGCCTTATCAGAATCCGCCTTCAGGAATGCACGTTCATGGGTCATTTGTGCTTGATCATTTTTGATAGCATAGTTAAATATTTAATATGGGTAAGATTATCTCTGAAATTCTGTTGAGCTAGTTTACCATTACTTCGGGCTTATAAAGGAAAATTTATCAAAAGTTTTGATTCTTCCCAATAAAACTCCAGACTTGAGTTTGTTCAAAAATAACACATCTGAGAATCAGCCAAGACAAACATATTTAGAAGTAACTCCTAAACAGGCTGCATTTTGCTAAAGATACCATTACAATATATTTCTGATTTTAAAAAAAATCATTCATCCCACATTTCACACCCCAACAATACAATTTCCTATGACCTTGTGTCTCACAAAACACAGCAACACACTGAAATTATGCAAGAATTCTGTATTACCATAAAACACGTATTTCAGTGGAGAGAATAATAAAACTTAATCTCGTGGCCTGATTTGCATTTTGAACTCCTCAAGTCAGACTCTACAGCCTGTAACATCTGCAACAGCTTCACAATCCCAACAAGTCTTTTAGGCCTCCTGTTGCAAATGGATAAACGTGTAGACAATTCAGGTTATTTTCTTAATAGATCAGAACAAGAAATACGTCCAACTGCTGTAAATTTAAAATCTCACTCGGCTTTTCAGATCAGTGTCGATGGCATACTTGAGAAGGGGGAGGGGGAAGCATTACACACCCATAAAACTGAGACCAAACGCTACCAGTTTTAAAGCCTCAGAGCTTTAAACCTTAACATGAATATTTTAACATTTACATTAAAGCCTTACGGCTTTAAAATAGGGGACTTCCATTGTGGGCAGCCTGTGATAATTACTGTTTCAATATATTTCACGGCAATAACGCAATACAGCTCGCTGACTACCCAACGCTAATCTCTAGCATCACAGGTACTGCAGGTAAAATTTTTTAAAATATATATACATATATATATATATATATATATATATATGTATGTATGTATGTATATGTATATATATATGTGTGTGTACATATATGTATTTATGTATATATATATAAGGATGTATCGGTGTAAATATATATACAGGGAGAGATAAAGAATATCACAGAAAATCACAGAATTATTAGGGTTGAAAGGGACCTCTGGAGATCATCCAGCCCAAACCCCCTATATAAAAAGACCCTTAAAAACCATTAAAACCATTATCACACACCTCCCGAACAACGATTATTACTGAAAATACGACGGAATAACCCCCGCCCCGCCACGCTGGAGGTGCACCGCGCCGGGGCGGGGGTCGCAGCGGGCGGAGCGGAGCCCCCCGAGCCCGCAGGCCCGGCCATCCCCCGCAGCCCCGGGAGGCCGCTCGGGGAGCCAGGCCCAGCCCCGGGCCCGCGGGAGCCCGGCCCGTCCCCGCCGCCCGCCCGGCCACCCCCCGGCGACAACAAAGGGCGACCGCGGCCCCGCGCCCTCCCCGCGGGGACCCCCGGGGGCCCTTCCCGCGCCCTCCCCGCGCCGGGGAAAGGCGGCGGCGCTGCCCGCCCGTTCCTCCCGCCGCTGCCTCCCTCCCCGTCCCGCGGAGCCGCGCTGACCTGCGGGCGCGGGGCGGGCGCGGCGTCCCGGTGTGTCCCGGTGCGTCCCGGCGGCCGCGGGCTGCGCTTGACACCCACACGCACCATCCAACATGGCGGCGGCGGCCGCGGGGAGGCGGCGGAGGAGGCGGAACCGGCGGCCGCGCGCGGCCCCGAGGCGCGGCCGCGCTGAGGGCGGGGTGGGGGGGACGCGGCGCTGCCCGTCCCTCCTTCCCTCCGTGTTCCCTTCCCTCCCTCCCTGTTCGCTTCCCTCCCTCCCTGTTCCCTTCCCTTCCCTCCCTCCCGGCGCGGCTCCTCGGAGCCGGGCGCCGCTGAGGAGCGAGGCAGGATCGCCTTCCCCCCGCCTCACCCCGGCTCTGAAGGGGACAACGCCTGGGGAGGCCCCTCAGGGCTCAAAGAGCTCCGGGGTCCTCCAAAAAATCTGCGTGAAATAATACAAAAGAAGGCTGTCGTTAAAAAAATAATCCGATTTATGGGTCAGGGAACGCCTTAGAGGGAGTCCGGGGCTGGCTCTGATGGAAGGAGAGCACTTGGGGATCCCCCTCAGGATCAGGTTCAGGGCTAGAGATCCCCCAAGAGCCAGGGACAAAAAGTACAAATTCATTACTATCGGTACAAAATAAGCACATTTGTGGCTATTTAAAGCAGGTCTGGGGCTGCCTTTGGTGGAAGGAGAAGGCTTGGGGAGCACACTCCCCCTCCACACTCACAGCGCCCAGGAGAAACTGATTTAGGACAGGGTAGTCCCCCAAAAATCGAGGTCCAGTGTGGGCTGGCAGCAGAATCATAGAATGAATTCATTTGGAAAAGACCTGCGATAATCAAGTCCCAATTTATGGCCAAACACCCCCTTGTCAGCTAGATTATGGCACTGAGAGCCACATCCAGCCTTCCCTTAAACACCTCCAGGGCCAGTGACTCCATCCTTGAGCAGCCCATTCCAATATTCAATCACTTTTCCATGAGAAAATCCCTCCCCATGTCCAACCTGAACCTCCCTGGCACAGCTCCCATTGCCTCGCACAGCGCAGGTACTCCCAATATAAAATAACCACATTTATGGCTAAGGGGACACTTTATGAGCACAGTTGTGGATCGGGGTCTCCGCGCTGGGCGATGACGGGGAGCTCAGCAGGGACACAGAGGCACGAACGTGGCAGGAGGAGCTGGACGGTCTGGGTGGGTCGAAGCACACGTCCTTCCCCTGGGGATAATGACTAAACCTGTGTCCGGCACCGTGGGCTGGAGGAGGGTACTGCTCCCATTGTAGTCCTCCCTGAATATATTTGTTCCCATCTTAAAACCGGGAGACAATTCAAGGAAACGGGACACAGCTGCTCGGGAGGGAGACAGTCAGGATTGGTGTGGGCCAGGGGAGAAGCTGGAGAGCAGAGCTCCACTTGGATTGCTGCTGGCACAGGGCACTGCTGCTGGTTATTTAAAACCCAAATTCCTGAGGAATCGTGCCTTACAAAAGCATAGGGAAACAGAAATGTGGAGCAAAATCCAGTTTATGAGTCACTGCTTTTAAGGGAAAGGAAGGTCAGGCTGAGTGCTGCAAACTTCATCAAATCCCACAATGGTTTGGGAAGGGACCTTAAAAATCACCCTGTCAGGGGCAGGGACACCTCCCACTATTCCCAGGCTGCTCCAAGACCCGTCCAACCTGGCCTTGGAAACTTCCATGGATGGAGCATCCACACTTCCCTCTCATGGAGCCACTATCAAATCTGCCACAGATTTGAGGTTTAAATACAGAAGAACGGGGACTGCAGTGAAACACCGGGTGAGCTGCATTAAAAGCATCTTGTTTAGAAATGCTGCACATTCCAATGCCTTGAGCACCATCTGGGAGCTGGGAAGATTCGGATCTTCTGCAGTGAGCTGTGATTCTGGCTTAGCTGTTAACCTTGAGCTAAGCAGGATTCAATTCTGGGTGAAAAAAAAAAAATAAGGGATCAGCACACATCTGATGGTATCAGCAGGAGCTGAAAGAATACTTCCCCCTTTTCTTCTTTGCAAGAAAACAGCAATGATGGAAACCCAATGTTTCTGGGTACGTTCATTAATCCTAATGATCAGGTGCTGACAGCTCTAAAGGAGGAGAAGAAAGCTCTTGGTTAAAATAAAATAGGAAGAACAGGATTGTTCCTGCTGCCTTCTCTCCTGCCTGTGTTTCTTCCAGATCTGGGCAGATAGCTCTCCAGAGCAGGAGGCAGCTTCCTCTCCATTCCCAGCTCCATCCCAGGTATCTCTCCACATCATTAAGTGTGCAAATCAGCAAACCCAGCAAAAACCTCCTGCAGCTGGCACAATTCCACCAGAAAAAAACCCTTTTTTTTTCACCCGGTTGGGGCCCCTTGTTGCAGTTAAACCAACCCGGCCAGTTAAATTCCTTTTTTTTTTGTTTTTTTTTTTGTTTTTATTGCTTTCAGTGCAGTGTTCCTGCTGCCCCGGGCAGGTATGAGTGGTAGAGCTGCACCAGCAGAGCTCTGCCCAGGCTGCACAGGGATGTTCCCTCCCCTGAGCAGACTCGTGGCAGTGGATTTACGTCTCTTGTTTCATATTAGCAACAGGAGGTCGCTGTATTTGTCCTGTGATTTTAAAGCCAGGAGCTGGTGCAGAACACTTCCCACTGCAGCCCTGCCCCATCCCTCTCTGGAGCAGGCTGCACCTGGATCTTGACCCGAGCCATCTCTGATCCTTCCCAGCCACAACACTTCAGCTGCGTTGGCACAACCAGAGTCCAAGGCCACGATTTGCAGCCCGAGCTGGGCACCGGGAGCTGTGGCACCACCCTGATAACCAGCAGAGCAATCCACATGGAGAAGGCAGCTCACAGGCTCCAGGATGTCCTCAGGATAGGGAAGGGACTCACAAGGAGATCAAATCCAACTTGTGCTCCTGCACAGGACAACGCCAAGGATCAGGGGCACCTTTCACTAGGTCAGTGTGCCCAGAGAAGCTGTGGCTGCCACATCCCTGGAAGTGTCCAAGGCCAGGTTGGACAGGGCTTGGAGCAACTTGGGATAGTGGAAGGTGTCCCTGCCCATGGAGGATTTTTGAGATCCTGTCCAACCCAAACTGTTTTGTGATTCTATAAATCCCACCCTGTGCCTGAGAGCGTTGTCCAAACACTCCTGGAGCTCTGGCAGCCTTGATGCCATGACCATTCCCTGGGGAACCTGTTTGTTGCCTCAGCATCCTCTGGGTGAAAACCCTTTTCCTGATAACCTAAACTTTCCTGGCACAGCTTCACCCCCTCAGGTCCTGTCACTGGTCAACAGAGACGAGCTGGTGGCAGTAGCCCCAGCGAGTGGGAGTAGGCAAGGAGCAGGAGGATAAGGAGCAGGAGGATAAGGAGTGGGATGTCTGGAATGCAGGAGGCTCTCCCAGAGAAGATGAGGAAGGCACATCCTCCCCCAGCTGCCCTCCCAACTAACCTAAGGAAGAGCAGCTGCCAGGGAGCCTCAGGAGGGGCTGTTCCACAGCCGTAATGGGAATATCGCCCACGTGGGGCTGAGCACACCACTAATTAGCTAATGAGTTTGTTCCAAATGTCTGGCCACAGTGCGAGGGACAACAGGAGCAGCACGTGAAAAGCCCCAAACAGTGACAAGTGCATTTGTCCCTTGTCGCTGACCCCAGCCCCGCATTAACAAATAGGTCAGAACCAACGGTGCTTTGCAGTGATCTAATCCTCCCGCCATATGTCGGCTGCCCGAAAAAACACTGCACAGAGAACGCCCCAAAGCGCTGCAAAAATCCCAAGGAAAACTCGATAAATATATCCCTGCCATTTGAAATTTGATTTCCTCACTCTATTGTTCCTCATTTCCTGAGAGCTGGCTTGGTGGATCACATTTTCTGCTTCTGTCTCCAGTGCTTGTAAGCAAACAAGACTGAATCTCATTATCCTGATGCATGGCCCTGGCTGCGTGCAATCCAATCTCTAAATCACAGTCATTTTGTTCCATTACTGATTTTCCTTCCCACTCCTAACCTGCAGGTCTTCAGAGGAATCAATGCAGAAATAGAGACGAGCATCATCTAATGAAGGTGTGTTTAATGTTCAGCGCTTCAGCCTGGATTAAATAGCCAAGTGAGGAACTGCCTCGTGTCTCGGGAGGTTGGGCACCCTCCACTCCAGCTGGAGCTTCCCAGCCTTTCCCGGGAAGCTGCATGCTTCCACATGGGGTAAATGGGGACTTCAGTCCCTAAGAGCCCAATTTGGGAAATCTGCTAATTAAATAGTCTGGGCAAACACAATCATCATTGTCCTTAGAGCCAAAGCAGCGAGATGTTTCTCAACAAGCACAGACCCTCCCCGGAATTTTCTGAGCTGGCTGCGTGTTGCTGACAGTTATAGAGAATATATTCAGATTATACAACTTGATGTTCACCCCGGGTTATTCTCTCCTGGATTCATGAATATTTCATTGAAATATGCAAAGTCTGAGTTACAGTCTTGTCTGCTTCAATTAGACACATGGATCCACAGGGTCTACAGCCCTACCACACTTCCAGGGTTTGTCTACAAAGCGAGGAGAACCAAAATAAGAGTTTAGTTCCCATCATATTTAGCCTGACTTCTTCAAACATCTTTAAATAAGGGAGAAAAGCAGAAGGACGGGAATGAGGGAGAGTAGAGCCAGTGAGCCTGTGCCTGAGTTCAGCTGGAAGCAGCCCAAGCTAATCAGAACACAGCCAGCAGGAGGGGGTTCGTTCCCTTCACGATGCAGACAAACTTGTAGAACTGTTTCCAATGCAAATATTCCTTTTGACAAGTTCAAAATTAATACACCTCTAATATGGGTATTCAAACCAGACCTTTTCTGAACACGTTGGCAGATTCATGAAAAGAGAAGGGAGAATGCAAGCCCAGCACATTCTGGTTTTCTCAAAATGAATGTGCTCTGACAGTGCAAGAGGCAGTGACGTTTGAATGTGCTTAGTTCTTGTAATTACCAAGTGTTGTGTTTCTTTAGAAGCTGGAGCTGTTCTCATCTGTGGGCACCTTCCCTCATTCCTTTCTCCTTACTGCTCCCGAGGTGCAGTTTCTCCCATGCCACAGCAAGAAGCCAAGGCTACTGTGCTGCTTACATTAAATCCCACTGAAGCCTCGGGGTGAAATTCCACAAGTTTTAATTGACCTAAGTCAGGGTGTTGTGGTTCCTGCCCTTCCTCCACCACCCCTTCCCATTCCCTCCCTGCCACCAGCACCAGCTCATACCACCTGTGGTGAAGATTAATCACTTTTTTGGGGGGAGTGCTGCTTCTCAGCCAGTTCAGCTCCCTGAACCAGCTCACCAGAGGTTCAGGTGAGCCTCAGATCAGCACCCACATCAGCAGAAAAGAGAGGACAGGGCCATGCGAGGCCACACCGACTGCTGAGGAGGTATTTTTCTGGGTTTATAGGACACAAGGAACACATTTGACCTAAAGAGCCTGGATGTGCTGCTTGTTTCCAGGCTGGGAGCACTCACCCATTAGGACCATCTGCACAGTTTGGAGTGGCAGACTCAGGCCCAGCAAAGTCAGGCTCATATTTATTGTTACCATCTGGCTCCTCAAAGCAAGTCACCAAGGCAGAGCCTGTAAGCTCCTGCTGGAGGATGGGCATTCCACACTTTTGCTTGGTACAGTTTGTTCTATCCCTCTTGACTTCTTCCTTGTCACAACAAGAGGACTTCCTGCCAGGATGGAGCTGATGGACAACATCACCCATCAGAATTCCTCCTCCTCATTCCTGCAGCCACCCAAAGAATGTCACCCGGAGAATCAGCCCCTCCCTTCTGCCCCAGGCCCATCCTCAGACTGATAGAGGCTCCATAATCACTTCCAAACTGCAGGATGACCTGTGCAGTTGCACAAGGACCTCACGTGGCCAGGGATTATCCTCACTCCTCCCAGCTGTTTCTAACCTTGAGGGAAAACGCCCTGTTGGCTCTGAGGAACGTGTCAGGAGCTACACTCCTGGCTCTGCAGAATCCTCCGGGATTTGGGTTTCCTCTCTCCTGTTGGAACAGGAATTTTGGCTGGTCCTAGCTGGAAAGGGTGGCAAAAGACTTGTACACTTGTAGAAGAGGGGAGAAATTATGTGTACCTACAAGCAAGCACCCAGCCTGTGGCTACTGCTGGCAGAGGACGTGGTCCAGCACAAGGAGTTTCATTTTTAAGCACAAAACCCCAGAAAACATCACCTTCCCCGCAGGAATCAGATGCAGCAAACCATCCATCCCCCTTACCTGGGGTGAGTCAGGGGTGCCAACACTGAAATCAGCATCATCACACCACAGTGTTGTGCTCACAGAGATTTGGGGCCCCATGGGGACAACTGGAGCTTCCTTCACGTGTGCTCTGCTCCCAGAGCATCCAACACCTGGAAAGCCACCTCAGCTCCAACCCTGGGAGCTGAGCTGCACAGCTACAGCCAGCTTCAGCTCAAATTTCAGAGTCTTGCTCTCAGACACAAAGATGTGACCCCCAAAGCAGAGCAAGTACTGGAAGCTGCAGGTATTTTGTGGCTTTTAAACAGAGAGGCTGGAACAGTGCTGCCACGTCCCTGGATTACAGCTGGATGCCCAGCACCGAAAAGCTGGTAGCTTTCCCCCCTTGACAGATGAAAACTGAGAGCTGTCTGCCTGGTTTGTGTTTGCACAGCATCCAGCCAGTCCCTTAATTAGTTGGCCCAATTTCTGGGTTTCTGATTCCCACTTCTGCAAGTAACTTCCTCCATTCCCAGGCTCACAGAGCCAGTTGAAACTTTCATATCTGCATGCATGGTTGTGACTCCAAACTTGTCCCTGCTGCCCCATCTCATCTTCAGCAGGGCTTCCCAGGAACTTTCACTCTGTAAAAAACCCTAAACAATGCTGCAGAGCTGTAAATACACGGTCCCTGTGTGATAAACAAGCAGATTTAATAAAAAAATCACCAGCTGGGCTGGAAGAGATTCGTGACAAGCCATCAGGACTCCACAAAGCAAACAAACTGCACAGCACTGCAGGCAAGAATTCCTCCAGAACGTGTTCAGTGCTAACACAGCCCAGCTGAGCTGCTCCATGGATCAGCCCTCTATGAGCTCCTCAAAAACTTGGTGGAAGGAAAATGTTCCTCTTCAACAACAGCAAATCTCAGGAGCCATTTGAGCACCTCAGCCAGTCAAGCAGGTTATAATTGGCTGTAATTAATACTCCTACGAGCTTCCACATTCTCATGGACTGAGATGGAGAAATGCAGGATTGCTCCCTGACCCTGTGGACATGAGAGGAAGTCAAAGGGGTCTGTTGCGTTCTGATTTTCAGAAATCAAACATCTCTGATAGGAAAAGGTGAGAGAGAGGCAAACAGCAGCGCTGCTGGGAACCGGCTGTGCACGGCCCCATCTTTTCTGGGACACAAACCACAATAACCTCAACCAAAAATAACTGCAGAGCAAGTTGCTACAGACAGCAAGCTTCCTCTGTCCCTCAAGATGCTTCCACGTCACTCAGAGCATTTTGGGAGGGGCATGGGGTGCAAACCACGCACAACCACAACAGATTTTAGCAGTACTGAAAGTGGCCTTTGGTGAAACATCAGCTGAACAATCCACTCCAGGAGGGTGAAAACTAAAGAAGCCCAAAATGCCTGATGTCATGAAAACCCCACATGCGTCACCAGCGGGCTGGAAGAAGGGTTTGGGGCACCTGCACAGCTCAGCTGAGAAGGTTTTTGCACTCAGCAGGATCTCCAGCACTCGGGGAGGAAGGGCTGGGCTCTGCAGGCCACTTCCTCCAAGAAGCCACCGACTGACCCTTAAATGAAGACTGACAGCCACTTCCACACAGACACCCTGGGCCTTGCTCTTCATTACCGGCACGTTCCAGAGCGTGTCTGCATCAGCTTTTGCAGCTTGCACTTAGAGAAACGTGAGACTCCCGTGTTTTCCCTCCAGGCAGGGCAGGACCTCTTGTTTTGCTCTGAGAGCAGAGCCTGGGGGAAAGGCAGAGAACTGGAGATGCTGTCACTCAAGGGTGCTTCTTTCAAGATGCATCTTGCAGACACAGCTCCAGTTTGGGAGGTGCCCTGAATTACTGAATCCAAGGAGAAGAACACAGCGTGGAATTCTGTCTGTTCACACACTTATTTCTCTTATTGGAGAATCATAGACTGGTTTGGGTAGGAAGGGTCCTTAAAGATCATCCAAAGCCACACCCACAGCCAGGGACACCTTCCACTATCCCAGGTGGTTCCAAGCCCCATCCAGCCTTGGACACTTCCAGGGTTGGTGCAGCCACAGCTGCTCTGGGCAACCTGGTCTAGTGCCTCCCCCACCCTCACAGGGAAGAATTTTTTCCTAATAGCAAATCTATCCCTGCCCTCCTTCAGCTTAAGGCCGTTCCTCCTCACCCTATCACTACACATCCTTGTGAAAAGTCCCTCTCCAATTATATCCTCAAACATTTGCTATAAACGCTGCCAGTGCTCAGATTTTGGACTGGACACCTGCTTTTAAGCAGGGTGGATGTTGTTATCTTCCCACACACTGGCTCCCAGCTCCAGACCTTCATGTTTACCACCCCTCAGAGCAGAGGCCGAGAGCAGCACCCACGTGCTGTTTTCCTCAGCTCTCCTGGGTTTCTCCCAAAAGCTCCATCCCTCTGAAGCTCCTTTCTCCAGACTCTCCATGGACTGGCACATTTTCCACCCTCAGGCCTAAAGCCTTGCAGACACTTGGCACGTTCCCTAAGCCTTCTGCACCCAGAGGTGCTCAGGGAGATTTAAACACATGCTAAAATGATTTATTGAACTGTGTCTGCCCCGGGGAGCCAAGAACAGCACAGCTGCAAACCACTGGAGGCTGCATTCCTGGTCCCAGCTGAGGGAGCAGCAAGCAGGCATCAGGTTGGGATATAGAATTTGTGCTAATCTGGTTTCCAGAGGGAGAAGACACAGGTGCCCACACTGGAGAGGGGCTGTAGCCCCTGCCCAAGCTGTTTCTGAGGGTGTCCCACAAGTAATTCCAGTCCTTTGTGCCCAGTCCACACTGTTCCTGTTGCTCCAGAAGTTCCTTGAGTTCCTCCAGCCATCTCTCCCTCCACACTGTCCCCTCCACTTGGAGCTGGAGCTCGCCCATGATCAAACTCTTGCTCCTGTTGCTCATCTGAGCCCTTCCAGGGCATCCTGTGCCCCGTGGTGCCCCCTGCTCCCAGGCAATGCCAGAGGCTGTAATGCCAGATTGGGACACACAGGGATCTTTGATCCGACTCCTGGCCCTGCACAGACACCCCAACAATCCCACCCTGTGCCTTGTGCTGTCCAAACCCTCCTGCAGCTCTGGCAGCCTCGGGGCTGGCACCATTCCCTGGGGAGCCTGGGCAGTGCCAGCACCTTCTGGGGGAAGAACCTTTTCCTAATATCCAACCTAACCCCCCCTGACATGAAAGGGCTCTGAAATCCCAGTTTGGGCAGCAGGGCATCACCATGGGACATTGATGTGACAAATGGACATAACACACCACTGGGTCCTGCTGCCAACCTCTTCAGCAGCTCCTCGAGCTGCTCAGCCTGTAGTGGCCACCTGCCCCCCAGCAAAACCCAAACCCGGTTCCTCTTTCAGCCTGGGAGAGAGGAAGAGAGGGGAGGAAGGAGGAAGGAAGATGACAAATCTGCATTTCAGATGCTGAAAGGAACACGGCGCAGAAACAGATATTTTACAGGATTTTGCCAAATGCTTTGCTTGCTACTGCATCTTGTGCCAAGCACACCTACATGGGAGGGTTTTTATTACCTGTGCTAATGTTAGTGCCTTACCTCATGAGCCCTGTCAGAGCAACGCTGTTCCTTTGCCATCAGCTTCACAGGGAGGGGGCTCAGGTCCCATTTTCCTGGGGATCTCAAACTCTTCTATTGAAGCAAATGCTGTTTCCAGCTCTGCAGGAATACTGCAAGAGAAAGCAGTGCCTTGGCTTTCTATTTAAGATGCAGAATTGCCTCCTAGGAGTGCTGCATTTGCTAAGAGAGCATAAAGCAAGAACACACATCTTGGAGCAAACCCGTGGGCAGTGCTCCTTTAACAGGGCCAGATCCTGCTCTCATTTACACACAGACATCTGGAGAGGCTTCGGGGAAATTACCCTGGATTGTCACGGCTGATGTGTCAGGAATCACAGTCCAGCACAGCCCTTGGGAGGAATTCATCTGTTCTATTGTGGCTTCCTAAAAAAACCTGCACTCAGTTTTTCCTCTTGCCTTGCACAGGTGAAAATCACCACTCAGGAGAAGTGCCCTGGCAGGGCTCTGCCACCAGGGCAGTAGCTTTTTTCAGCTTAGTTTTCCAAAGGGAGCAGCGCAGCGTGGGGTGGGAGAGGCAAGGCCACGTGTGTGGATTCTCCCGTGTATCCTTCGGGGCTGATTTCAGCTGATGACAGGCTGGGCAGAGTTTTCACAGCCACTTAATTACCAAACATTTCCTGCAGATCCTCAGCTGAGGACAGGAGAGAGGTCAGAGCAACGAGGGACAGCCCAACCCTGGGTGATGTCGCTGTTGAGGCAGGACGGGAATGAATAGACTGACTCAGAAGGATGTTGAGAGTAAAAACTCTGATTTATTTAAAATACCCTGCTCTTTTATACAGAGCTTTGCAAGGATAAAATCCAATGGTTCTGAAGTGAAAACAATCCAGAGCATTGGTGCAGAGTGCTTGACGCACAGTGATAGAACTTAACTATAAACAATGTGAAAAACAAGAGATAAAGAATTATTTACATTCTTTCCCAGCTCTTTCCCTGCCTGGCTAGAAACTCTCCGTTTCTTCCTTTGACTGAACCTGAGACCCACAGGGTGACACTTCAGGGAATATACACACACCTATAGATGAATAAAAGGACAGCGCTGGGCAGTGTGGCAATAAATCAGAGCCACAGCAGGGCTGGGGACTTGGGGGGACTCCCGGCTGCATCCCCGGCGAGCAAGGGCGGCGTGGAGCATCCGGGGAATCCACAGCTGCACCTGCATCCGCCCGGCCACACACAGAGGCCTTCAGTGCTCCATCTTCCCTCCGCTTCCTCCCTCTTGTCCCGCCGCTCCTGCCCTGAATGAGGCGTTTCAGGAGCGGCACAGTGCCCGGATTCTCTGCTCCCATCGCATCTGGCTCAGCTCTGCCCCGCATGTGGCACCGCGCACATCAGTGCCCAGCAGGGACCCTTCTCACCCTCCTCCTCCTCCCTCCGTGTCCCCACGGCTGTCACCATCTGCGCTGGCACTGCCCAAATTCCTGCCAAACGCGGTTCCTCTCCCACCAGCGGCTCAGCCCAACACGCCATGCCCCAGCCTCGGGTCACCGCTGTGCTGGCGGTCCCCAACAGCCCAGGGAGGTGTCACCATGGCCCTGGGAGCTGTCCCCATCCCCAGCAGCCCAAATGTCCCCCCAAAAGCGGCAGGGTGGGTACGGAGCCGAAGGAGGAACCAGGGCCGCTCTTGCCACACTCCCAGAGGAAGGCATGACGTGAGCTGTGGCTTAATTGGTTATTAATAACTTCTTTGTTAACCAGCCAGCCCGAAGGAGGAACAGAAATTTGACTACCCCGGTGGCAGCCAGCATCATTCACAATTTCTCCCTACGTTTTTTTGGGTTTTTTCTGTTGTTGTGGTTGTTGCTGGGAGTCGCAGCCCCCCGGGTGAGTCACGGCGGTGACAGCAGGGTGACAGCACGGTCCCCCCACCCACGCACACGGCACAGCCCTCGGCGGTGGGGTTTTCTTTTTAATTCCTAGAAAAATAACAGATGCTCTTGTTGAGGGGGAGATTCTTGGAATCCGTTCAGGCTGAGCCTGGATGTGACCAAAACTCCCCTCAAACAAGCCCTGCAGGAGCCACGGAGATCCCCTGCCCATGGGTGGTTACTCCATCAGCCCAGGAGGCTCCCCCCATGGCAAACAGCGACAGCAAACAGCCTCCACACCCAAATCCCACACCTCCTGCCCACTTTCTTTGTAACTTCCACTTACAGGGACCCTTTTCATTTGTCTCCCGTGTGAATCAAAGCTGGGACCCTCTGTACCTCCATGCTGTGCTGACAGAATGCAGCACAGAGGGGTTTTCCAGCTTCAGCTGTCTGGGAATGGCTCCTGAGGAGCTGACAGAGCATTCCCCACTCCCATCCCTGCTGCAGCATCAGCCCAGCTAGGAAAATTTAGCTTGGGGACCTGGGCTTGTCCATAGCACAGATCCAAGGATGGAGATTGGAAGCCAGACACAGCCGATCATCCCAGGAGTCACCATCAGACAGTTCCACAGCAGGATTCAGCAGAAAACATTCCTCCCACAGCTCAGATTAGAGCCTGACCTGCATGAGGGCACCCAGCAGGTCCCAGAGTTCCCCCAGGTGTGTCAGTGACCACAGCAAAGCCCCAGGCCAGAGCCAAGGACCAGGACACCACAGCCGTGGGGCACACGAGATCTGCTCCAGGTGGATGTGGACAGCTCCATCCTCTCCAGGTCACACCGGGGGAGACACAGCCACCACACAGAGGGACAGCTCACCTTTTGCTCTTGGTGCATCCCAGGGAAGAGCAGGATCCCAGGAGTACCTCCAAGACACAGCCACAAGAGAGAACACTCCCTTCTCATCAGTCCAAACCCAAGAAGTGGCCACCAGGTCCTTTTCTAGAGCCCAGGGAGGCAAATAACCCCCAGCTGTGCTGGCCCTGGTGGTTAATGGTGCACAGGATCAGTAAATGATCCTGGCCTGAGCCCCCACCCCAGCGTGCCCAGAGCCAGGCACTGACAGAGACCTCACCCAGCAGAGAGCAGAGTCCTGGGAGCTGCAGGAAGCCCTCGTTGTTTGTTCCCCTGTGGCTGCTGTGTCTGGGCTCTCCCTCCTCACCAAAACCAGGTTTGGCCTTTCCCAGGAGCCAATCCCAGCCACCAACCACCCAAGGCTTATCCCTCTTGAAGGGGTTGTTTGGGATGACCCCATCAGTGATCATTCCTTATAGGTTTTGGGTTGAATTCTACACCTGAGGCGTCATGACAATCACTTCTTTTCCAGATCCGTTTTTGGGGCCAAAAGCAGAAAGTGAGGCCCCACCACCAGCCCCCTGCCTCGGGTTTCTCCCATGAGAGCACAGTGCCACTTCCCAACCCACCTACACCACAGGCAAGTGGGCCCTGCCATGATTTACCAGCTCAAAAACCCCAAACCAGCCCCAGCCACCCATGCTGACCCCGAGGAGATGCAGCCCCATGTCTGGAGACCACCAGCACCTCAAGGAGCCTTTCATGGCCACGTTGGACCCAGGGTGGCCAATTCTCTGTGTCTGCTCCTCCTGTAGATGTTTTCCTACAGATCCTGTGGGATAATGTGAGCTCCAGAGAGCTCTGATCCTCTGTCCTCAGCTACACCAGGGTGGAACTGGTGGCACGAGTGTGGGCTGAGAAGTTGAGTTACACACAAGATCTGGTGCTCAGGAGTCACCAGCGTGGCCTCTGCTCTGGTGGGGGGGGAATGCTGACTCTGAGATCCTGTCTGGGGGCCCTGCTGTGGCATTTTCTAGCCCAGGATGTCACTTCCTCCCTGTGCAGGGCCTCGGTGGGGCTCGAGAGACATCTGGGTCCCCGTGGGAAGGGCTGATTCCATCCCTGGGCACACGGGCAGCTGCAGCCTTTATCCTACAGGATTTATCCACATTCCCCATCCAGGCACAGCCTGGATCCTGGCTGTGCTGCACTGCCAGCCCCCAGCACAGTGCTGTGTCCTGGGGCAGCATCCATCCCTCTCCCTGCTCCGGGGGCAGAACCCTGGGTCTGCAATGAGCCAGCCCAAAGCCTTGCCCAGCCAAAGCCTTGCCCAGCCCAAAGCCTTGCCCAGCCCAAAGCCTTGCCCAGCCCTTTCCCATCCAGGCCCATCTCAAAGCCTTGCCCAGCCAAAGCCTTGCCCAGCCCAAAGCCTTGCCCAGCCCAAAGCCTTGCCCAGCCCTTTCCCATCCAGGCCCATCTCAAAGCCTTGCCCAGCCAAAGCCTTGCCCAGCCCTGCCCCATCCAAGCCCAGCCCTGCCCCATCCAAGACCAGCTCAAAACCTTTCCCAGCCAAAGCCTTGCCCAGCCCTGCCCATCCAGGCCCAGCTCAAAGCCCCCCAGGAGGCAAAGCCAGGCGTGAGACTCCCCCTCTGTGGGCAGATCAAGGGGTCACTGAGCAGCAGGAGAGGAGCTGGGGAGCCCGGAGCGGTGTCCATAACAAAGCTCCTCAGGCTGCAGAGGAAGGGGAAGAGGCTCCCCTCCCTCCTCTTCCTCCCTCCCGCGTGGGGATTTTGCAGCCAGGTAAACACAGGATGTTGATGAAACAGGGCTGGGCAGATTGGGCAACCCGGGAGTCAGCAGCAGATCCCAGCGCCTGGAATGGCCCTGCAGCCGGGAAAGGGCAATGCCAGAGCTCCTGGCACCTTCCTCCACCTGCCCCAGGGTCACAGAACTCCCCGGCTCGGAGGCAGAGGCAGCGGGGGCTGCTGGCCAAAGCCGGGGCAGGATGGGCTGCCACGCTCTGCTCCGTGCCCTCGGCTGATCTTTGGGATCTCCTTGCAGGCTGAGCTGAGCTCAGGACCGAGCCCCAACGTTCATCAGGCTTTGACACCCAACCAACAGCAACCGTGTGGCACCTCCTGTGTCCCTGCGAGGGGACGTGCAGGGCACAGGGATGAGGGGACAGATCCCCCAGGATCCCACCCTGCCGGGCATCGGCTCAGGGGTGGCACAGCAGCTTGGGATGGGCACCTGGGGAGCAGCTGAGCACGGCAGGGTTTGGCTCCCTGCCCAGGAAAGGGGCCCCAGAGCAGCCCAGCCTGTCTGGGGGTGCAGGTGCTGCTGGCACCCCACC